TCAATGAGTTGATATATAGAAAGCATCTAGTTCAGTATCTACAAATATATTAAAGATTTTCACCTATTGTTTCTTTTCCTTTTTCCCCCTTAAAGTGATACAAAGGAAATTGTAATAAACCCATATCATATTGCTGTGCATGCAAGTTCTCCCCAAATGCAAAAAAATTTTTGATGAAAAAATATATATCACTGTTTCTTTAAATTAAAATAAATCTACATCAACAGATCAAAATATTAAGAATTTTTGGTCAACATCATTTCTATGGAATTTTATAATTAAATACCTAAGTTTTATGTTCTTCAAAAGCAATCAAAAATAAACAAGGCACAGTCTTACATTTTATAAAGAAAGCATAAAGAGATTAGTTTTGTTCTAGAACTTAAAAATATTAACTAAATTTATTTAGAGAAGAGGCAGGGAGTTAAATCATGATTCTACAAGTAATTAACAAATGTTGTTAGTGTTCATTCTTTGATATTATTTAGAAGGAAATAAGTTGGATATATTGCTCATATAGCTTTGGTGAACAAGGTCAATGAATTATAGAATATTAGTGCTTAGAAGAGAACTTCAAATTCTGCAGGTTTTACATCTTATTCTAAAAAGAAAATAAAAACAGAAGTTAATGTTCAAGATTACCCAGGACTAGAGGGAGAGCTGAAATTCAACTCTTTCTCAGCCTTCTACTCCTCTGCACTATTTCATGATGCATTTTGGCTGGGACTCAAAATAATGGTAATTTAGAACACTGCTCTTGTGGCTATTCTAGCAATGATTATGTGTTTTGTTTCCTGTGTAGCTTGTAGGACATAATGAAACAAGAGGACATGTGAAGTGTTGTCTTGTGTTCTTGTTGCTACCTAGAAAACATTTTTTTTCTTTGAAAGGAATAAAAATATAACTTAAATACAAACCCACTAATAATCTCTGACAAAAGTCTGGGTTACTTGTCAGGAAAACAAACAGCCTAAACATTTCACCTGGCATGGTTACAGATAAAGTTCTATTACATTTAAATTGATTTCAGGACCTTCTGAAATTTAGCCAAGGAACAGTTAAGATATTCATACAATCCATGGCAGAGGAGGAAGCAAAGTTAAGCTCCCAAATAAAGAAGTAACCATTCATCATTTACCTTTCCTCTTTCCTAGCACCACTATGGGATTAAGAATTTATGAAAAGGGGAAGTTAATATTACACAAAACTATTCCAAACTACACACCACTTCAAAGAAAAATTTCTTCAAAGAGGAGATCTCACTTACTTTTTTTTAAAACAAAATTAATGTTTATTTATTTTGGAAAGAGAGAGAGATAGAATGTGAGTGAGCAAGGGGCAGAGACAGGGAGACACAGAATCGGAAGCAGGCTGCAGGCTCTGAGCTGTCAGCACAGAGCCTGATGAGGGGCTCAAACTCAGGAACCTTGAGATCATGACTTGAGCTGAAGTCCGAAGCTTAAACAACTGACCCACCCAGGCGCCCCATAGAGGAGTTCTCACTTTTAACTCATAACCAACTCACGCATCCAGTTTTCATGACTTCTAAATAAAACCACTAAACTGGACAACACATATATCCTGATTCCCTCATGCACCACACACTTTCAGTCCTTACCCTACCTAATCACTTAACAGCATTTGATCTTACAGACCTCTTCCTTTTCCCCATAAAACTCTTTACTTCCATCTTAAATGTTCTCACTACTCGCACAAAAAAAGGTGATGGGTGTATTAACTAATCCTACTGCAGTAATCATTTCACAATATATATGTGTATCAAATCACCATGTTGTACACCTTAAACTTACACAGTTATATGTCAATTACAGCTCAATAAAGTTGGAAAAAAAAAACAATACTGAATTCTCAAAAAAAAACCCCACAAAAATTTAAGAAAACCTCTTTGTTCCCTTGGCTTCCATGACCCCACTCTCATTTAATTCTCTCCTACCTTTTCGGTTATGCCTTCTCATTTTTTTCCACAAGGAGCATTTCTACTCAACCTTCAGTTGTTGGTGGTTCACAAAGCTCACTCCCTATCCCAGTTCTCTTCTTTTACTCAAAATATTTATTGAGCACCCACTACAGGCCAGGAACTCTTCTAGATAATTCTGACAGCAGTGAACAAATCAGACGAATATCCCTGCTCTCTTGAAGCATACATCATATAATCAGACAGAAACAATAATATATAAGTAAATTATATAGTCTTAGAAGGGTATAAGTGTTATGGAACACAAATGGAGCAGGATAAAAGGAATCCATTCTAAAAAGCTCCTTAAACCACCATATTAATATATCCATGACTTTATCATCTCTATTTTAACTATTCCCAAATCTCTATTGATCATAAATCTTTTCTGAGCAGCAATACTCTAAAGACCTTTGCACAATTTATCATGCCTGACACTCAATTCAACATTCATCTTCCACCATAACCTGTTCCTCCTATATTGATAATGGCATCAACATCAACTGGGCCAGCCAAGTCAGATACCTAGATGCCTCCCATAGTCTCTAGATCTCACCTGTCCTGGATTCTTATTTGTCTGCATAAATATCTCTGACATTATTCCATCTTCACTGTTGTTTCTCTAATTAAAAACTTCAGTAAAGAGCAGGATCAACTCTGTAGTCAGATGCCTGGACTGAATCATGGCTCCACCACTTACTTGCCATTTGGTTTTGAATTTAACCTCTATAAGTGCTAGTTGTCCTATCTATGAAATGAAGACAACCCTCCTAGGATTGCTTTGATTAAATGAGTGTGGCTGGAGGTATTAGCATCAGAATCATCAGCATGATTAACTGATGTAGCAGCAGCATGATTAATTCCTAAAATAGCCTCTTAAGTTAGTTTTCCTTCTTTCACCCTTACTCTTCTTTAATTTTTCCTAAAACTACAGCTCTAGTAATTATCAAAATCCACAGGTCTAAACACAATGACCCTAAACAGGTTCCCAAGGCCTTCAGCCTAAGTCCAAGTGCCTTAGCATGGGAAAAAATTTTTTTTTCTCCTTCTTTCCTCTTTAAACCTTAAGCTTGTTAAAGGATCATCATTATAGTCAAGCCAGCCTGGACCTGAACTTTTCTGTGAAAGATCTTCAAAATATAAACTTCAGCTTCTTTTTTCAATTTACAGTCTCAGCAGATGATTTTAAAGTTATCATAATATTGTCTTTTTTTTCTTCCAAGTACATATTTCATTTTTACGGTCAAAATGTTAAATGGTCTTTGATTTAATCAATCATCGTGGTATGATGGAATACAAAATAAGCATTGTGAAAACCTTTGCAGCAATGAAAGCCAAGCAGATGATTTAAATTATTTCCTTCAGGCTTTTTATCATGTTTTCTCTTTCTATGAAACAAACTCAAAACACCATTGATGGATTTTTATGCATGTGTTTGTATGTGTTTTTTGTATGTGTGTATGCACTCATATGTGTTTGTAGGTTAACTGGCATTTACTAAAAGCATCTTCTTACATGATAAAAATAACGTTACCATAAAAAATTATGTAATACAATAAAATGTGAGAAACTATCGTAGTGTTCTAGAAGCTTTTTGTATGTTTTTATAAACAGCCGTATCAGCCACAAAAAAGTAACAACATTCTCTAATTATTCTTTTTATTAATATATTTCACAAGTACCAGTGTAAAAAATATATATAATGAAATTTACTAAATACAAATATTGAGACCGAGCAAATTCACAATTATAGAGCAGATGATAGTTTAAGAGGATGTAACAAAAATTGAGAATGTGTTCTTTACACTTTCTAATTAGTGAGAAGCCTTCTGAAACAAATATATTACACTGCTTAAGGACTAAGCCATATGTTAAATATATTTTACCTAAAGATCATTATGAAACTTGTAGAATTTATATATTTAAAATGTAAACAATTTAATCACTTGATAAATGTAGTTTAGACAATGATGAGAATTAAATTTTAATCATGTCATAATGGAAAAGAAACACGCTGTCCACCAATTAATTGTCAAAAAGCTAATAACACAGAGCTTAGTATTAAGATCTGGATTTATTATCATCATGCTGTATGTTATTATTAATATATATAAATTTAGATAATATAGAATAAAGTTAAATTATCTTAACTTTTACTTTAAAAATACAAATACTTTATTTATAATATAAGGCCTCATATTTTTAAAAAGCCAAAATGTTATATATAATATATATCCTACTGACATTTACTCAAGAAAGAATTCTGGTAAAATTTTATATTGCTGGAGTTTCTTATGAGAGATAAAATGTTTTTTAAAATTTGGTTATGTAACCATTATAACATAGTACATATCTCTTACAACAAAATTCTAAAAATGAAAATAAAGAGCTTAATTTTTTAAATTGTAATTTGTTTTACCATTACAATGTTTAATCACATATTCAGTTTTAATCTTTTTCATTTTATATCATGAAAACTTTTGTTATTTTATGTGTTCCAAGACAAATAAAAACTAAACTAGAAAAAAAACCTAAAACTATGTTTATGATATCTAAGATTATGCAACGTGAGTAATAACAAAGGATGAATAAAGCAAGGGTAAGAAGACATGCAATGCAATCTATGAAAGTGTCAGTGTCTAATTACCTTACTTAAAACAGCAAATAGAATCCTAATGGTCACTTCCTTAAATATGACCAATTAATTCAAAGAATAAAGAAAATTAGGAGACAAAACAGTTCTATAAATCTTGTTATGACAGGCGAAAATGACTTTGCTTATAAAGCAGTTAAGGTATTCTGAAAGTGTCAGGGACTAATTATTAATTGGCTACGTAGATATAAAACTTTACAAACAATTAATATCTATTTGATGATACCCTTATATTGTGGTGAATCATAATTAGACACTTGTCACTTGATATTCCTCTACCTGTCTAATCCTTTCACAAGAATACATGAAATAATATTATATTCAAGCTAGTACCTGAGGAGGATTACTTATGAAACATGTGGAAGATTTTACCTGTCCAACCAGGCAAGCAGACTCTTGGCTGCTCCTATCAGGTCCACAACTGAAGTCAAAAAGTCATTTGGCAATTTTCGGCTGGTTCTCCCATCATAATGGCCACTCCTTCTCCTCCCTGTTATAAAATTCTGTAGATTTTTGGCAGATGCATTCAACTTGTGAGAAAGGGTTTTTAGATTCTCTGTTTCCAAGCCATAATTCTGAATTATAAAAAGAGAGAAAACAAATAAACTTAAATTCAGTATTACATTCATTCACTAAGATATTTACTGAGTACGTTACTATGTACAGGTAACAAAATTAGTATTTAGAATTACAAATGACTAAGATAGTATTCCTGGCCTAGCAGAACCCACAGTTAAGTGAGGATCTGGGGAAATGTCAGATAAACAAATCACAATAAAATGTGTTAGGTGCTAATAAGAACAAGCAAAGATGAGGGCATTATATCTTGGAATTCTGCCACGCAAGAAAGAAAGATCACTAAGACACATAAATGTTTTTCTTTTAAACCAAGTCAATTTAGTTGTGAAATTCATTTTTATCAATAATTATCTTTAGTATCTATTCTATTAGCACATGCATAGTCATGAATGTAGATGCTATTAAAAATTCTGTAGTCTCAAAGTGAGTAAAGAAAGCACAACTCAACTATAAAATGAAAAAGCAAGAAATAAATCATATCCAATATAGCTTTATTCTGTGTCCTCTCCATGACTCACATAAAAAATTTCTTCTACAATATGGTACAAGAAAAAAATGATTCCTTAGTGAAACCAATAAACTTTCTCCTTTTTATAACAGAAATTATGAAACTAAACTTATTTTTATTTTTGTCATGGTTACATTAGCTCACAAATATGAAGCATATCTAAAGCAATTATACTGATTTTTTGCTAAGTATGTTTTCTTACTTTCCTCGGTCTCACTTTGAATTTCTAGTAATATTTATTATTTCACCATAAATATTGCCTATATATTAATGTGGAAAGAAGTTATATGAATAAATATTTATAAATAAGCTTTTTTCTTTTTACTGCATTCAATAGGAAATACTATAAGACCTCCACAAATAAACTTTAGGGAAAGATTTCATAAGTTACAATTAAATTTTTTTTTGACATTTTATTTATTTTTGATAGAGACAGAGCACAAGTGGGGGAGGGGCAGAGAGAGACAGAGACACAGAATCCGAAGCAGGCTCCAGGCTCCGAGCTGTCAGCACAGAGCCTGACACAGGGCTTGAACCCACAAACTGCGAGATCATGACCTGAGCCAAAGTTGGATGCTCAACTGACTGAGCCACCCAGGTGCCCCAGTTACAATTAAATTTTAAAACAGCTAATTGTGACTTGTAAAACATCTCCAAAAAAAGCTCGTTAACCTGCCCAAAGGATGACCTTGATCAAACTATTCAGCAGCATGTACATTATTGTCACATATAAATAAAAAATGTTATTTATTACCTTATAGAAAATCATAAGACCCAAAGAATTTTAGATAGCCTCTGAGGCCCAAATAAATTCTAATTTTGACTTACGCTCCTTTTACAGTTGAGAACAATGTGGCACAAAGAGATTCTCCCCTGTGTTTAGAGAGCTTAGAGTAGACAGAGTTCAGAATGGAACTACAAGTCACCAGGCTATATGTGAGGGGATGCATAAGCAAAATGGGAGATAAAATACTAGGGGTATGAAAAAAGGAAGCAAATGGCAGAATAAATTTAGCTGTATTAAGTCAACAAGCACTGGGTACCTACTTGATATGAAATTTCGATTTATTTCTTCTATAGTAATTTAAGAAAAGTAACTTAGAGGAGAAAAAGGAGGGATCAGAGGAGTTTGCACACTTAAACATTAAATACCAAGTTATGTATGTTACCAGTGAAGATTTAATAGTGATACAAGTCTGAATGTTCTTTGCTAAGAATTTAAGAACATTCCTTTTGGAGTCATGGGCTTGTTTTTTAAAAAAATAGTCTATTCAACATTCACTACTAAATATGAATTGCAATATTCTCTCAAGTAAAAAGGTTTTGTTTGCACAAATAAAACAACATTCTCTTCAGATTCTCTTGCATCTGAGTATGGATTATCTGTGAAGCATTTGGGAGATTTTGTCCAGTGTGGCAGTATATTAAGTAGGAAATCTTTTTATAAGGTTATTAAGGATACTCTCTAGTGGCTAGATAAGAACAACTTATAATTATATCAAATTATTTATTCACTTATTTGGCTTAAAACAACAGAAATTTATTTTCTTGAACTTTGGAGATCAGAAATCCAAAATCACTATCACTGGGCTGAAGTCACAGTGTTGGCAGGTCAATGCTTCTTCCGGAGGCTCTAATCTTGCCTGTGACAGCATCTGGTAGTTGTTGTCATTCCTTGATTTGTGGCCATTATAACTCCTGTCTCTGCTCCTGAGATCACATGGCCACCTCTTCTGTGTGGGCCAAATCCCCCTGCCTCTCCCTCATTAGGACACTTGTGATTGGATTTAGAGCCCACAGGGATAATCACAAATAATCTCCCCTTGTAAAGATCTTTAATCACATCTGAATATGCACATTGCTCACTCTTTGGAGGAAGGATAAGGCCTTCTGCAAGTTGAAGGACATGTGCCGGTCCCCTCCAAAGCTCATTCCCAGCTGCCCTTTGGAGACTATATGAACTAAACTTAAATGATATATCTGAAATGCTTTCCTGACATATTTTTGGAAGTTTTCCCCTATATTAAAGCATTTTTCTTGAAGTAGAAAAGTATTTTCATTTTTAATTTTTGTGTATTAATGATTTTCATGAAGAAATATTTGTTTACAAACACATTATAATAATTTTTTAGAGAAGCTCAATGATAGTAATAGTTCATTAGAGAGGAACCTAATCAGGCCCTGCCTGTGCTCCAGGGACTGTGGTAGGGGGTCTTCCAAGCTCTCAGTTCACCTCCCAATGGTCTAAGAGAGTCCAGACCTGGGAAGATGGTGGTGTAGGAAGACGCTGGGCTCACCGCGTCCTGCTGATCGGTTAGATTCCACCCACATCTGCCTAAATAACCCAGAAAAATGCCAGAAGACTAGCAAAATGCACCCTCAAGAGCCAAGCGTAGACAAGAGGCCCACGGAAGAGGGTAGGAAGGGCAGAGAGGCGGTGTGTGCTACACAGACTGGCAGGAGCCAGCCGGGGCAGTGGAGGGGCAGCCCGCCCGGCAGGGCAGAGCCCCTGAAGTCTGGCTTGCAAAAGCAGAGGGGCTGGACTCCATGAGTTCCGACAGCCAGCAGGGCTTAACATCTAGAATGTTAAAAGTCAATAGCTCTGCTATCAGAAAGCGGGAAAGGTGAGAGGATGCCAGGAGGGAGAGTGTTGAGCCCCAGAAGACAGAACTCAGCTCAGCGGGGGAACAAAGGAGCTGGCAAGCACCATGTCCCTCTCCCATTACCCAGCCAAAATTCCAAAGGCAACCAGTTCCCTTCACTGAACTTGCTTGCACTGTGCAAATGCCCAATGCTGTGCTTCTGTGGAGCCATCCCTCCGATGGGCCTGCCTCCCTCTCAGTGCTGCAGGGCCCCTCCCACAGGGAACCACCCATGGCAAAGCAAGCTAAGCCAGCCCCGACCACCCCTGTGCACCTTGCCTATCCACTCCAGCTAATACGCCATTGGCCAGATCCCATGGAAGCAGCACCACAAGCCTGGCAGTGAGCAGGCAGCCCAGAAAGGGGCCACACCACTCCACAATGAGTCCTGCCCCTGGGAGAGGGGAATATAAGGTACACACCAGTCTGACTGTGGCCCCAGCGGTGGGCTGGGGGCAGACATTGGGTCTGATTGCAGCCCCGCCCACCAACACAAGTTACTCCCGACAGCACAGGAGAAGTGCCCTGCAGTTTGGAGCCACCACAGGGACTACCCAAAATGACTCAACAGAAGAATTCTCCTCAAAAGAAACTCCAGGAAATAGCGACAGCTAACGAATTGATCAAAAACGACTTAAGCAATATAACGGAACAAGAATTTAGAATAATAGTCATAAAATTAATCACTGGGCTTGAAAAAAGCATAGAGGACAGCAGAGAATCTATTGCTACAGAGATCAAGGGACTAAGAAATACTCGTGAGGAGCTAAAAAATGCTATAAATGAAAGGCAAAATAAAATGGAGGCGGCCATAACACAGATTGAAGAGGCATAAGAGAGAATAGGTGAATTAGAAGATAAAATTATGGAAAAAGAGGAAGCTGAGAAAAAGAGAGATAAAAAATCCAGGAGTATGAGGGGAGAATTAGAGAACTAAGTCATGCAATCAAATGGAACAATATCCGTATCATAAGA